GGGGCAGAAGGGGACATAGGCACAGTCCTGCAGGTGTTCAATTGCTGGCAGTCTGGTGCCTGAGTCTGGGGTGTGCAAGATGCTGCTGGCTTTCCATTCACTTGCAATCGTTGCTGGTGCCTGCGGCAGGCGCATGCACACAGTCCTGCTGGTGTTCCACTCGCTGTTGGACCTGTGGGGTACCTGCAGAGTGGGTCTTGTGGGAGGTTCCGCTTCTGTTCCACTCATTGTGTTGTCCAGGGCAGTGTCCAAGGCTGGTCTTGGGGTGGCGAGGCTGTGCTCCTACTCATGCTTTCCTTTAGTTCTCATGCTTTAGTCTCTGAAGATATTTAAAATTAAAATTAAAAAATTTTTTCAATAGGTCATATATATGATTTTCCTTAGGAGTAGTTGATATTTTTTCCTTAGGAACAGATTTGTTTTCATATGAGTGAACCATACTTTCTCATTTCTTTGCATGTCTTGTTTCTTTTTGTTGTTGTTGAGAAGTGGCCATCTATACTAATAAAAGGGTAATGTGCTAATTAGACCAGATATCTTCTGGATGTCTTCCAGACGTCCTTCTGAACAGAGCCGCAGCAGCTGTGAGGGCTGAGATCAGGCGGCAGCTGTGGCGGCTGTGAGGGCCGAGGACAGGTAGCAGCTGTGGTGGCTACGAGGGCAAGGGCAGGCGGCTGCAGCGGCCGGCAGTGGCAGCAGCAGCAGGGTGATGGGGGCGGCTTCTTCCCCTGATTGGCCCAGTTGCCTCTTGCAGAGGGAGGCCAGAGGCAGCAGCAGCGATGGGGTGATGGGGACAGTGCCTTCCCTTGATCAGGCCGGTCGCCTCCCGCAGAGGGAGGCCAAGCCGCAGTAGGACATCCCTGCTGGGATTTTTGGTGCAGCCTAACAATAACCAGAATGCACAATCGAGCCCTCTGAGGGCTCCTAGATTGTGAGAGGGGGCAGACCAGGCTGAGGGACCCCCCTTCCAGTGCACAAATTTTTGTGCACCGGGCTTCTAGTTTTAAATAATGTGGTAACTCTAGAAATCAGATTTCTCCCCTCTCCATAATTATTTGTTGCTGATTTGGTAATTGTTGTTTTTGTTTAATGACTTCTGAATTAATCCTGTAAAATCTATTATTTGTTGTGTGTGGCCACTGATGTCTGTACTTGGTTAGTTCGGTAGCAGCTAATGATTGTTTTGCAAATAGTAAATCTCCCAGTCTTTACTGAGAGGATCTGTGTGCATTTGGGGCACTCCTTCAACACACAGTCAAGCAATGAACAACTCTGCCTTAGCCTTTACTTCCTGCTTGTTCAGACCTTCAAGTTCAGCCAGAAGTGAGAGCTTAGGACCTTCTCAGGTCTTTCCTGAACACATGCACAGTCTTGGGCATGCATACTTTGTAGGTGTGCATATGGCCTTCTAAATTCCCAGAAATATGTTGGAGCTTTTCAAAGCCCCTTTGGACATCTTTTCATTCCCCAGCTTTTTCTCTGTCCCAACTGTCTGTATAATTGTTTTGGACAAACACCCACCCAAGGGAGAAGGGTTTTATACTGTGGTAGCTCAGAGGTCAATAAAAAAAAAATCTCTGCAAGTGGGTTTCTTCTAGAGAACCATAATACAGGTCAAATAATGACAGTTCTTTGGGAATAAATCTTGAAAGATTCTGCTCCATTGTGCATTCTGATTATTGTTAGGCTGCACCAAGAATCCCAGCAGCTTGTTATTTTTGAAGGTTATAATGTAGCTGAGAGCTGGAGATGGGACCAGAACACATATATTAAACTGTTTTTCTTTTTTTCCCAATATCCAAGGCTTTTTAAAAAAATGTTTTTTATTGATTTCAGAGAGGAAAAGAGAGGACGAAAGAAATAGAAACATTGATGATCAGAGAGAATCATTATTGGCTGCCTCCTGCACCCCATCACCTACTGGGGATCAAGCCCACAACCTGGGCATGTGCCCTGACCAGGAATTGAACCGGGACCTCCTGATTCATGGGTTGATGCTCAACCACAGCCCAACAAGCTGGGCTCAGCTGTTTTTCTTGAATTAACACTCCTTGTTTTTGTAATCCTTTCATTGTAGTTTTCAGAGTTCTGAAAAAAATTGGTGCTGACAATTTTTGCCAGTCTTTATTTTCCTTCCTTCCTCCCTCCCTTCCTTCCTTCCTTCCTTCCTTCCTTCCTTCCTTCCTTCCTTCCTTCCTTCCCTCCCTCCCTCCCTCCCTCCCTCCCTCCCCCCTCCTTTCTTTCTTTCTTTTTTTTTTTTTGATTCTTTCTTTTATTATTTATTTTTCAAAATAATAAGTTGGTTACCTCCAAAGATCACAAACTAAAGGTGATCATAGAGGCTTTCTTTTTTTTTCTTTTTTTTTTTAATTAAATCTTTATTGTTCAGATTATTACATTTGTTCCTCTTTTTTCTCCCCGTAACTCCCCTCCTCCCAGTTCCCGCCCCACCCTCTGCCCTCACTCCCCACCCACTGTCCTCATCCATAGGTGCACGATTTTTGTCCAGTCTCTTCCCGCATCTCCCACACCCCTTTCCCCCCCAAGAATAGTCAGTCCATTCCCTTTCTATGTCCCTGATTGTATTATGATCACCAGATTATTTATTCACTTGATTCTTAGATTCACTTGTTGATAGATGCATATTTGTTGTTCATAATTTGTATCTTTACCTTTCTCTTCTTCTTCCTCTTCTTAAAGGATACCTTTCAGCATTTCATATAATCCTGGTTTGGTGGTGATGAACTCCTTTAGCTTTTCCTTATCTGTGAAGCTCTTTATCTGACCTTCAGTTCTGAATGATAGCTTTGCTGGATAAAGTAATGTTGGTTGTAGGTTCTTGGTATTCATCACTTTGAATATTTCTTGCCATTCCCTTCTGGCCTGCAAAGTTTCTGTTGAGAAATCAGCTGACAGTCGTATGGGTATTCCCTTGTAGGTAACTGAGTTTCTTTCTCTTGCTGCTTTTAAGATTGTCTCTTTGTCTTTTGCTCTTGGCATTTTAATTATGATGTGTCTTGGTGTGGTCCTCTTTGGATTCCTTTTGTTTGGGGTTCTCTGCGCTTCCTGGACCTGTAAGTCTATTTCTTTCACCAGGTGGGGGAAGTTTTCTGTCATTATTTCTTCAAATAGGTTTTCAATATCTTGCTCTCTCTCATCTTCTGGCACCCCTATAATTCTGATGTTGGTACGCTTGAAGCTGTCCCAGAGGCTCCTTACACTATCTTTGTATTTTTGGATTCTTTTTCGTTTTTGCTTTTCTGGTTGGGTGTTTTTTGCTTCTTCGCATTTCAAATCTTTGCCTTGATTCTTGCGCTCCTCTGGTCTGCTGTTGGGAGTCTGTATAGTATTCGTTATTTCAGTCCGTGTATGCTTAATTTCTAGTTGGTTCTTTATCATAACATTGAGGGTCTCATTAGTTTTCTTGAGGATCTCACTACATTTATCGGCAGCTTCTAGACAGTTCTTAAGAGACCTTAAAAGTGTGGTTCTGAACTCAATATCCTCCATTGACAGTTTTGTCCTGTTTCTTTGTCTCCGCATTTTTTATGCTTTCTTGGTACACCCCCTAGTGGTCTTTGTGCGCAGCTTGTTGTAGTTAAGCCTTGATTGATGTCAGCAATACCGGGGGTGATTTGACCTCCAGGCTAACTGGATATGAGAGTCCGCTGTGTCTGCAGTGGGAGAGCTTCTGTGCTGGATCTCTAGGGCGGTGCTAATCTAGCGTTTGCCTGAGGCTATCTGGCAAATGGCTCTGTGCAGGGCTTGGGCGGGGCGGGTCCCCGGGGATCTACAGGGCGGGCAGGAGCGAGCAGTTATGGCGGCTCTCAGTTCTGTCCCTAGGGGCTCTGCCTCACAGAGTCCCAGCAACCGCTGCAAACCTCGGAGAGAAAGCTGCCTTCGAGTTCCGACCGAAGCCAGACAGTCCCGCTTCTCCCGTTTGAGTCTGGGTCCCTAGAGACTCGCCCGGATCTGGAGCTCAGGGTCTGAAACTCCCTCCCGATTGAAAACAACAACCGCGCCCTCCGCCTCCAGCCCGCTCGCGCGCACTCCGCACCTGAGTATTTCACTTCAGCACTGCGCCTCCTCTGAGTCTGGGTATGATATTCTCTTTCCTCCTAGTTGTAGAATTTCCACTCAGCCAGCCTTCCTGTGGTTCTAGATGATGTCTGTTCCGTCTTTAGTTGTTTTTCTGAAGTGGTTGTTCGAGGCAGCAATCTCTGGCATTAACCTATGCCGCCATCTTGGTTTCCCTCCATAGAGGCTTTCTTATATTTCTTTCTTTTTTTTTTTTTTTCTTACTTTTAATGGAGGAGAGAATTTTCTGAAGTCCTTAGTCTTCCATTTTCAGTGTCACCCTCAGGTAATTTTTAATCAAATGGAATCAGAACGGCATGAGTTGAAGTCTGTATATATTTTCTTATTCCAGTTCCATTCTCACTTATGATTAATGCCTCTTTCCCCTTTTAGAGTCTGAAGAATTCAGACTTAGGAACCAGCCTGCCTAGATTCAAATCCTAGCATTGCTACTTATTAGTTTTATGATCTTAGGCAAGTTACTTAACTTTTCTGTGCTTTACTCTCTTCATCTGTAAAATGGGGATAATACATAGTACCTACCAAGTCAATCTATGTAATGTACTTATTAACAATGTTTAGCAGTACTCAATAATGATTACTTGTTTTCAGAAGTTATGATGCTGAAAATTTTAGGTAGTGTGATTCTGTTGTTTAATTTGATTGTGTCTCTTACATATCAAGGATTTGTTAATTTATCAATGAATACACATTAGAAAAATATTTTAAAAGAATCATTAAAATATATTCTTTAACATTTCTATAGAAATATGAGTCCAACAAAATACACATTTCTTACGCAATGTTACTCAGTAAGCATTAAAAAATTAATAATTAATGGAAATCCCAGATAAAATATGATGAAGAAAGCTATTATTGTATGTTTATTATTTATAATATTATCTGTTCATTATTTTTGTTAGGTTAATAATAATGAAATGGTTGCATTACAACGAGACCCCAATAACTCCTATGATAAGAATGCAATTAAAGTAAACAATGTGAATGGAAATCAAGTTGGCCATTTAAAGAAAGATCTTGCAGCTGCTTTGGCCTATATTATGGACAACAAATTGGCACAAGTGGAAGGGTAATGTATTTCAGAGTTTAGTTTTAATAATTTTGAGTTGTATTGAGCTTTGAATTTGTTATGTCTGTATAGTTATCACAACACCTTTAGCATGTGTTTAATAAATGTTTTAATTCTGCTGTCATTTACCTCTACTACCTTGCTATTCCCTCACTTTTCTTTTGAATTATTGCCTTGGAGAAAAATAGACTATGGTTTAAATATTGGGAAGTTCACACTGTCTCTCCAAACCTTTTAGTGCATAGGTTTGGGAGTTTGGAAGTGTTTGTTTAAATCAGAGGTTGTGAAACTGGTAGCCTGTGATCAGATGTAGGTCAGCTTCATTTTGTCTACACAGTGTTTAAAAATTAAAAATTTTCCCCAATATTTGAATACCTGGATATCCTATATTTTATACGTTATTTTTTCCTAAATAAAAAAATTATTTATGAAGATTTTTCTTGACAAATGGAAGGTTTGGTGATGCTGATCTCTCATTTTCACATGACATCAATTGACTAGTGCTGAGTAGCACCTATAGCTTTATCCAGGGCATACTCCAGTTCTTTTGTACATTTGTGTTTGTGATCTCAATTTAAGTATGGAATGTTAGGATATAAAAAAGTGAGTTTGGATGACAAAGGCTCAGAAATGTCTTCTCACTTTATTTGTGTACTTGTTTTCTTCTTTCTCAGTTCATCAGGTTTTTCAAATATTGAGAATAAACTGGATCAGAAATAGTTCTTGCAAATAATTCTCCAGTCTCAGAATGGGTTGCTAGCCTCTGGTTGTATTAATGAAAGCTCTACCCTCTCAGTTTTACTATTTTATTTATCTTACAATATTGATTATAGACTATTCTTATATTTAAACACTGCTTTATCTATCTAGTTTACTCTGTTTCGTCTGTCATTCTGTTAGTAAAAACCGCCCCTTTCTTCTGATTATTGTTGGTCCTGTTCTTATCATTTTCTTTCTAGTCTGCCCACTAGTTCCTCCCTATTTTACTTCATGCAAAATTTGAATGCAACACAGAATATTTAATAGTCAGATTCTTAATGGGAGTAAAAAATGGCCACTTTTAATTTCTCACATTTTTTTTCCTTCTTAAATACAATAGGGTAGTCCCTTTTGGTGCAAACAACGCTTTTACCATGCCTCTGCATATGACTCTTTGGGGAAAAGAAGAAAATAGAAAAGTGGTTTTAGATCAGTTGAAAAAACATGGATTTAAATTGGGTCCTGCACCAAAAAGTAAGTTTAGGGTTTAACCTACTATTATTTTGATATTGTAAAAATGTAGGAATTGTAAACATTTGTTATCTTAAGTGATACTTTGAGTTTGGTTGACTAAACTAATTTGCATGAAGGCTCTAAGTTATAACTTTTTTGGAGTCTTTTAAAGAAAATCTGGGAATTTTTTTCTCTTAATTTGAAACAACTATAGTTTCATAGGAGGCTTTACACACACATACGAGGAGGTCCTATAAATCCCTCCCCCAAATTCCTCTAATGATAGTATCTAGAAATCTTGATTGTAAATGTTCTCTTTGATAAATTACATATAGACAATAAGAATCTCAAAATAGAGAATGGGAAAGAATTATTTGTTTAGCAAGTGTTTATTCAAATAATGTAGAATTATTTTAATAGTGTATTAATGATAGGATTTAGCTTTTAAAAAACTGTTTTTTTAATTTTTTTATTATTATTTTAAATATATTTTATTGATTTTTTACAGAGAGGAAGGGAGAGGGATAGAGAGTTAGAAACATTGATGAGAGAGAAACATCGATCAGCTGCCTCCTGCACACCCCCCACTGGGGATGTGCCCGCAACCAAAGAATCGAACCTGGGACCCTTCAGTTCGCAGGCCGACGCTCTATCCACTGAGCCAAACCGGTCAGGGCAAAAAAACTATTTTTTTTTAATCTTCACTCTAGGATATGTTTTTATTTATTTTAGAGAGAGAGGGGGAGAGTGTGAGAGAGCAAGAGAGAGAAACATCGATGTGAGAGAGACATCAATCACCTGCCTCCTGCACACACCCTGTCCAGTGATTGAACCTGGATATGTGCTCTGACCTGGAATCAAACTGATGACCTTTTGGTGTATAGGTTAATGCTCCAACCAACTGAGCCACACCGTCCAGGGCTAAAAAATTTTAAAATATATTAAAGAGTATTTTTAATGGAGCTTATTTTATAAGTTTTAAAGGCTATTTGCTAAAAAATAATCTATTTTATTTGGTGATTTTATTTTCATTTTGTAAATTATAGCTTTTGGATTCAGTTTGGAAAGTGGTTGGGGCTCTGGAAGAGCTGGGCCAAGCTATAGTATGCCAGTTCATGCTGCAGTACAGCTGACAACTGAACAGGTGTGCTTTTCTTATATTTTGTAATCTAAAAGTGAATTTTAAATGAAGACTGGTGTTTAAAAGAATAAGATAAATATGTATGTGCTGGCATTAGTGATCTTCAGATATATTGTTAAGTTATGAAACATATAGAATAAATATATATTGCAAACATTTATGTAAAAAGAAATCAGTGATAAGGAATATATCCATGGGTTCACATTCATACCTACATTTAAAACACCTATATTGCTGTATATGCATGGGATGTTTCAGTATATTTTGATGTTTTTGTTGTGTTTGAAATTTTTGAACTCTGCAAGTATTTTTTAAAAATTAAAGCTTGAATCTTAACTCCTTTCAGTAAGGTTGCAAATATAGTGCTAAAAAAATAATTCCAGTTCTTTGACATTACTCCAATGCTTAACTTTGTCTAATTTGTAATTTAGGATACTGTTATCCTTAATTAGTTTGGGGTGGGGGAGGGAAAGGGATATAAAATAAAGTAATGCAGATCAATCTACAATTTTTTTTTGTCTCTACCCATCAGTATTAGTGTTAGCCTTTTTCTATTCTTATTATAATTACTGAATTTTCCCTACTTATTGTTAGAAGGTCTTGAGCCTATGTCTGGTGGGTAAACCCCAGGTTATCTCTCCTAACTGTTTAGAGTTGGCCTGATTTCTTCTGGACTATTGCTATATATTCATGTGATATTTACAAAAGTAATTCTAACACATATACATTGCTATAAAAGTTGACTAGATCCAATTTAAAGAACCAACTAAATTAGCAGAAGATTGAAATCATCCCAATATTTTTTAAAAATATCTTTTATTGATTTTTTACAGAGAGGAAGGGAGAGGGATAGAGAGTTAGAAACATGGATGAGAGAGAAACATAGATCAGCTGCCTCCTGCACACCTCCTACTGGGGATGTACCCACAACCAAGGTACATACCCTTGACTGGAATCGAACCTGGGACCCTTCAGTCCACACGCTGACGCTCTATCCACCGAGCCAAATCAGTTATGGCTCGTCCCAATATTTTATGTTACACAGCAAGATTTTTACTGCAGTAATAATAAATAAAAAATCATTGACTGAAAAAATGTCAGATGTACCTGGTAGGATCTACCAAAACGGTTTGAATGCAACTATGTAATCCTATCTATAATAATAAATGCGTAATATGCTAATTAGACCAGACAGCTGAACAACATTCTGGATGTCTTTCCAGACCAAGCTGTGGAGGCAGGGACTGAGGCAGAGGTACTTAGGGGTGATCAGGCAGGCAGGCAGAGTGGTTAGGGGTGATCAGGCAGTCAGGAGAGCAGTTACGGGTGATCAGGCAGGCAGGCAGAGTAGTTAGGGGTGATCAGGCAGTCAGGAGAGCGGTTACGGGCGATCAGTTAGGCAGGCAGAGTGGTTAGGGGCGATCAGGCAGGCACGCGAGTGGTTAGGGGTGATGAAGCAGGCAGGCAGAGTGATTAAGGGCAATCAAGCATTCAGGTAGGCAAGTGGTTAGGAGCCAGTAGTCCTGGATTGTGAGAGAGATATCTGACTGCCAGTTTAGGCCCAATCCTGCAGAGATCTAGCAGTTGGACATCCCCTGAGGGGTCCTGGATTGCAAGAGGGTACAGGCCAGGCTGAGGGACCTCTTCCCCCCCAACCCCCCGCACAAATTTCGTTCATTGGGCCTCTAGTCCTATATAATAAAAGGCCAATATGCAAATTGACCGAATCGTGGAGTGACCGGTCGCTATGATGTGCACTGACCACCAGGGTCAGATGGTCAATGCAGGAGCTGCCCCCTGGTGATCAATGTGCTCCCACAGGGTAAGCACTGCTCAGCCAGAAGCTCTGAGCCAGGCTCATGGCTGGCAAGCACAGTGGTGGTGGCAGGAGCCTCTCCCACCTCCATGGCAGTGCTAAGCCAGCAGTTAGACATCCCCTGAGGACTCCAGGATTTAGAGAGGTAACAGGCCAGGCTGAGGGGACCCCCACCCCCCAAGTGCACGAATTTTGTGCACTGGGCCTCTAGTACAGTGATGGCGAACCTTTTGAGCTTGGCATGTCAGCATTTTGAAAAACCCTAACTTAACTCTGGTGCCGTGTCACATATAGAAATTTTTTGATCTTTGCAACCATAGTAAAAACAAAGATTTATATTTTTGATATCCTATCTAATAAAAGAGAAACATGGTAATTAGCCATACCTCCGCTACCATTCGCATTGGCTAATCAGGGCGATATGCAAATTAACTGCCAGCCAAGATGGCGGCCGGCAGCCAGGCAGCTTGAAGTGAACATGAGGCTTGCTTGCTTCAGTGACGGAGGACTCCAACATTCCCCGCCTGCCTTGCCGGCCTCTGAGCCTGCAGTTTGAAACATTGTTACAAATATAGAAGCTAAACAAAACCCCAGTAACCTGCTTTCAGCAAGCCGGGATCTCAGAGCTGGAGTTGATACAGTGTTTGGATTATAGAACCCAAACAAACCAGATACCTGCTTTCAGCAGCGAGGCCTAAGAGCTGGAGCCAAGCCTCAGAGCTAAGGCTGGCCCAGAATAAAAAAAGAAAGAAAAAAAGAGTGGTTGGGAGCTTCAGTCACCCACCAGCCTGAAAACAGCCCTCAGCCCCTCCCCCAGACTGGCCAGGCACCCCAGTGGGGACCCCCACCCTGAAGGGTGTGTGACCAGCTGCAAACAGCGATCATCCCCAAATCCAGGCTGGCCAGGCACCCCAGTGGGAACCCCCACCCTGATCCAGGACACCCTTCAGGGCAAACCAGCCGGCCCCCACCCGTGCACCAGGCCTCTATCCTATATAGTAAAAGGGTAATATGCCTCCCAGCACCGGGATCAGCGGAGCCGCGAGGCCTCCCGGCACCGGGATCAGCGTGACAGGGGGCAGTGCCCAAACCCCCTGATTGCCCTGCGGCTCTGTGTGTGACAGGGTGCGGTGCCCCAACTTTCCTCCACGGGCCCTGCTCTGTGTGTGATGGGGCGGTGCCCCAACTCCCCTATCGGCCCTACTCTGTGAGTGACAGGGGGAAGCTCCCCAACCCCTTGATCGGCCCTGCTCTGTGCGTGACATGGGGGGAGCTCCCCAACCCCCAGATGGGCCCTGCTCTGTGCGTGATGGGCGAGCTCCCCAACCCCCTGATCGGTCCTGCTCTGTGCGTCACAGGGTATGGAGCCCCAACCCGCCTGATGGGCCCTGCTTTGTGCGTGACAGGGGGGAGCTCCCCAACCCCCTGATTCACCCTACTCTGTGTGTGACAGGTTACGGAGCCCCAAACCCCGATTTGCCCTGCTCTTTGCGTGGCAGGGGTGGCGCCGCAACCTCCCCATCGACCCTGCCTTGAGTGTGACAGGGGGCGGTGCCCCAACCCCCCAATAGGCCCTGCTCTGAGCCCGACCAGGGGCTGCATCTAGGGATTGGGCCTGCCCTCTGCCACCCGGAGCAGGCCTAAGCCAGCAGGTCGTTATCTCCCGAGGGGTCCCCGACTGCGAGAGAGCACAGGCCGGGCTGAGGGACCCACCCTCCCCCCCGAGTGCACAAATTTTTGTGCACCAGGCCTCTAGTTTATTTTATATATTTAAATGCCATTTAACAAAGAAAAATCAACCAAAAAATGAGTTATGTGTCACCTCTGACACGCGTGTCATAGGTTCGCCATCACTGCTCTAGTATAATCATAGAATTTCAATGGCAAGAGGAACCTTAGAGACATTCTAAATCTAGTTCATTCCTTTGATTTTACAGGAATAATAAACAGGGCCATAAAGGTTAAGTGTGTTGCCCAAAGTTATTTATAGGTTTATTTGTGACAGAACTATTACTGAATCCCAAGATTTACAACTCTATTCTTCTGACTGTAACATAGTTACCTTTTATACCTAAACCACTTATTCATTCTGTATTCACTGAGCAGTGTAGTATTTTAAATAATTGATGTACCTTTTGTTATTCAACTTTTATAGTTGATTAAGTTTCCGAGTTGTGTAATTATTATTTTAATTTTTTGTTTCATGTTTCTTATTGCTATTTGTTGTAGCTTAAAACAGAATTTGACAAATTGTTTGAAGATCTGAAAGAAGATGATAAAACTCATGAAATGGAACCAGCTGAGGTACTGAACCAATATTTTCAATTTATAAATATTCGATTAATTTATACATTTTTTATTACAAGATTAGCTGTTTTCCAGATTCGGGGGGAGGAGGGGATGAAAGCGCTTATTGTACCTCTATTTATGACATTTCTTTTATTTATAGGCTATTGAAACATCATTGCTCCCACATCAAAAACAAGCTCTAGCTTGGATGATTTCCCGGGAAAACAGTAAAGAACTTCCACCATTCTGGGAACAGCGAAGTGACTTATACTATAACACAATAACAAATTTTTCTGAGAAGGATCGACCAGAAAATGTCCATGGAGGAATTTTAGCTGATGATATGGGTTTGGTAATTATTCTTTTTCTTGAGTTAGTAAAATTTTATTTTGTAATTGTGATTTTATAGAAAGTGATTTTGAAGTAGGTAAGAGGAATTTATTAATGCCAGTTTGGGACTAGATTTCACTTCCAGTGTAGAACACAGTTTTTTCCTATGATTTTCAGTTAAAATAATGGTAAGCTTTTTGTTTTTATACTCTTAAGATACAATTAAAATAATTAGTGTAATGATATGAATATGTTTCTCTCAAAATTTTTTAAAAGGAAAGACAAGTGTTATGTAAAATTATTTGTAGTATATCACAAATGTTGTGATATGCAGAGTACTTAAATGTATACTTATGATTCCTTACATCAGCAGTTTTTATACTTTTTGGTCTCAGTGACCCTTTACACTAAAAAATTCTTGAGTGGCCCAAAGAGCTTTTGTTTTTGTGGGTTATGTCTATTAATATGTCTATAAATATTTATACTATTAATTTTAATTTATACTATTAAATTTTTTTAAATTATTAACTGAAAAATAACAGTTAACAAACTTACTTGTTAACATGAATAGCATATTTTTTTAATGAAAAGTATTCAAAAACAAAAGCAATTTTGATAAAACTCACATTTAATTTTGAAAATCATTTTAATGTCTGGGCTAATAGATGACATCTGAATCTGGTTTATCATTCAGTCCGTTGTGATACATGTTTGGTTAAAATGTGTAAAGAAACTTAAACCTTACACAGATTTGTAGTTGGAAAGAGAGCAGTGTTTTAATAGCCTTTTTAGATAAATATAGTCTTCTTTGATACAATAAAAAAATCAAGCAAGTATTAGTTCATTACATATTGTAGTTATAATGTGGAACTTAAAAGTCATATCAGTGAACTTTTTATACTCTATTAAAATCCATTGGGGTAGCTTACATATTGAATGCGTATTTTACCCATGCATGATTTTATAACATCAGGCATTTTATAAAATTATTCACTGAGTTATACAGATCTGTCAAATGTCAATGCATTTCATTATATTTATCAACAATTTTAATTCATTGTTAATACTGCTGATCTTATTAGGCATTTACATTTTGGAAAGCTTCTATTCCCATAGTATCGGATACGAATTTTCTAACATTCTGATTTTTGCTTGAAAGTTGAAATTTTATCACTAACAACAGATGCTATCAATTGTTTCCCTAGAAGATGATAGACTCACTTTGTTCATTTTTCAAGAAAATGTCTGCCACTTTGTCATGAATAACTATCTGTTGGTTATTCTTTCATGTAAAATTAGTGATGCATAAAAAAGTGATGATGTGAGATGATGCATCGTGGTTAATCTCAGTGATTTTTTTCCCCTAGATAGCCCTCATATTTTGGTATCAAAAGAAGTATTTTATGTGTACTTCCCATCTTATTATACAGGATATTTTAAAGATATGTACTTAGGAGGCAAGATTTAATAAAATTAATGTGTACTGCTTCATTAAGAACATTTTTAACATCTTAAAGTGAAACTGGCATTTACTTTTTTTTATTATGAGTGGCAGTTAATACAATAACCACTATTAGAAAGTAGTGTCACCTGTTTTGTTTTATGGTAAGGCACTAGCAATTTTGCCCACCATTGCTTTTTGAGGCATTCCTACAGATGTTAACACAAATAAGGTCTTAGAAGTATTATGAAAATAGTTTTGATTGCACATAACTCCTGAAAGGGTCCTGGGGTCCCCTAGGGCCTGTGTGGATCACACTTTGAAAATTGCTACCTTACACTGCCTTAAAATTCCCAGATTTGTTTCTGTATTGCTAATTATAACTTCAGCTATGGCAAAAATCAAAGATTGCATGTTTTTATTTAAGAAAAACTTACAAGGTATATCATGTTCTTTATAGCTTTTAAGTGCTGGAATTATATTTAAATGAAATTTAATAAAATGATTACCTTATGTGTATACTGGAATGACTAATAATTTTAAATTAGCTTGGAATTATATAGCAAGCAAAAGTAGTTTCATGATAAAGGTATTAGTTTAGGGTTAAATATAAACTCTTAGAACAGCAGTCATTTAATAAAAACACATTTCTCAGAGTTGTTTATAGTATTTTATGAGTAAATAATTTAATAATTTCTAACAATGCACTGTGGGAAAGTATTTCTTAATGACACTTTTGATTAATATGTATATTATCTAATATAATAGTACACTTCTGTGGCTTTGAATGGTGTTTGATATTTAATTAATTGATTTTAAATTGGTTTTGGAATGTTCTCTCGTCAACTGGATTTTAGAATCTGACCATTTGTCTTTTTGAAACATTTTAAGGGCAAAACTCTTACAGCCATTGCAGTAATTCTTACCAACTTCCATGGTGGTAAACCTCTTCCTGTTGAAAGAATTAAAAAAAATCAACTGAAGAAGGTAAAGTATTAGTGAATGTTTGTGTTTTTTTCCTCTGAAGTCATTGGTTTAGTTTTAAACCTTTTAATTTTGTCATTAAAAGATAATTGCCAAAAAATTGATAATATGCATTGTTTTCAGAGACATCAGGCTTCTCTCATTTGTTGCTGATAAGAGTGAACATCAGGGCCACATTCTTGAGGGCATTTTGGTAATTTGTATCAAGAGCCTTGAAAATGTTTATAATTTTCCACTCAATAATGTCTTTTTAAAGAAACTACCTAAAGAAGTTATCAGACATGTATTTTTTCCAAAGAAAAAAGTACAAGTTTATTTCCCCCCAGCATTATTTTAAACACAAAAAAGAAACACCTCGGAGAAACGAAGATGGCAGCATAGGTAAACATCGGAAATTGCTGCCTCGCACAACCACTTCAAAAATACAACAAAAAGACAAAATGGACATCATCCAGAAGCACAGGAAGGCTACCTGAGTGGAAATTCTACAACTAGAAGGAAAGAGAAAATCACACTGAGAATCAGAGAAGGTGCGGAAGTAAAGTGCAGAGGTACGGAGGCGCACGTGGAAAGGGCTGGCAACTGAGGACACAGTTGTCTTTTTCAATCGGGAGGGAGTCTCAAGCTCCTGAATGCTCTGAACTCCATTTCTGGGCAAGTCTCTGGGGACCCAGACTCATACGGGGAGAAACTGGACTGTCTGTTAGTGGGCGGAACTCGAGGGCGGCTTTCTCTCAGAGTTGCTTGCAGCGATACCCAGACACTGAGACGCGGGAGCTCTTAGGGTAGGACTGAGGATCAGCCATAGCTGCGTGCTCTGCCCTGTTGATCCCAGAGACCCCGCCCCACCCAAGCTGTGCACAGCGGCTTTTGCATATGAAAGGCCTGGCCCTTTGCAATCTGAAAATTGCAATCTGAAACCTAACAAACTGCAGCTGGGTCAGAGAGACCCAGAACTTCGAAAAGAAGGCCCAAGGCCCCACAGCAGCTTCCATTGCTTCACAGCTGGGCCTCATCTGGGCACCTCCAAACCCTAAACAAAGAAGAGAAATATGCAGATCTCTCCATAGCTCCTGCTGGGTAGCCTCAGGAAGAGGCTAAATTAGCACCTCCTTAGAGATCCAAGAGCCAGTGTACCCAGTGGTCAGAGTGGGACCATCCAGATTACAACTCCTCAGATCCTTAAGGGACATACTCAGGGGGCAGACTCAGTGAGCACCAAAGCCCCACTGAAGCAAGTCTTGCCCCAGAAGGGTGTCTCCAGCACAGAAGTTCTCCCACCGTAGACACAGCTGATTCTCATAGCCAATTGGCCTGGAGGTCAATTCCTCCCAGTGATACCTACAACAATCAAGGCCTAACTACAATAAGACTGTTCACACAGCCCACAAAGGGGTGCACCCAGAGTGTCCACCTCAGGTAATTGGGGAGGCTGAGACACTGGGCGCTATAGGACACCTAGCACAGAAAGCCACTCTATCAACACAGGGAAGCAGCCAAAATGCGGAGACAAAGAAACAGGTCACAAATGACAGAAATGGAAGAAAGCAAACTCCTGGGTATAGAGTTCAAAACCACGGTTATAAGGTTTTTCAAGAATTTTCTAGAAACCGTCGATAAATTTAGTCAGACCCTGAAGCAATCTAGTGAGACCCTTGAGGTTATGAAAAAGGACCAACTAGAAATTAAGTATATACTGACTGAAATAAAGAATATTATACAGAGTTCCAACAGCAGACTAGAGGATCGCAAGTATCAAGTCAAAGATTTGAAATCCGAAGGAGCAAAAAACACCTAACCAGAAAAGCAAAAAGAAAAATGAATCCAAAAATATCAAGATAGTGTAAGGAGCCTCTGGGACAACTTCAAGCTTACCAACATCCGAATTATGGGGGTGCCAGAAGAAGAGAGAGGGCAAGATATTGAAAACCTATTTGAAGAAATAATGACAGAAAACTTCCCCTACCTGGTGAAAGAAATGGACTTACAAGTCCAGGAAGCGCACAGAACCCCAGACAAAAGGAATCCAAAGAGAACTGCACCAAGACACATCATAATTAAAATGCCAAGAGCAAAAGAGAAAGAGAGAATCTTAAAAGCAGCAAGTGGAAAAAAGTCAGTTACCTACAAGGGAGTACCCATACGACTGTCAGGTGATTTCTCAGCAGAAACTATTCAAGCCAGAACGGAGTGGCAAGAAATATTCAAAGGGATGAATAGCAAGAACCTATAACCAAGATTACTTTACCCAGCAAAGCTACCATTCAGAATTGAAGGTCAGATAAAGAGCTTTACAGATAAGAAAAAGCTAAAGGAGTTCATCACCACCAAACCAGTATTATATGAAATGCTGAAAGGTATCCTATAAGAAGAGAAAGAAGAAAAAAAAGGTAAAGATACAACAAATACACATTTATCAACAAGTGAATCTAAAAATCAAGTGAATAAATAATCTGATGAACAGAATAAACTGGTGAATATAATAGAATCAGGGGCATAGAAAGGGAGTGGACTGACTATTCTCGGCGGTAAAGGGGTGTGGGGGGTGCGGGAAGAGACTGGACAAAAATTATACATCTGTGGATGAGGACAGTGGCGGGGGGGGTAAGGGTAGGTGCAGGGTGGGAACCGGGTGGGGGGGAGGTATGGGGGGAAAAAAGAGGAACCACTGTAATAATCTGAAAAATAAAGTTTCAATTTAAAAAAAAGAAATAAAAGAAACACCTCTTAGTAAGCTAATAGTTAAATTATAATCTACACTAATAAAAGACAAACATGCAAATTGACCATACCTTCGCTACACCTTAAGCCACGCCCAGCAGCCAATCAGAGCAACTATATGCAAATTAACCCAACCAAGATGGCCGCTGGCAGCCACGGAGCTGGAGCGAGCAGGAGGTTTGGTTGCCCCAATAATGGAGGAAGCCAAGCTTCCCTCTTGCCGCAGCCTGGCTCTGAGCTCCACTCAAAGCAACAAGGTTTCAATTATAGAAGAAAGTAAATAAACCTCAGATACCTGCTTTCAGCCAGCCATGGCCACGGAGCTGGAGTGAGCAGGAGGCTTCCCTCCCACCTGTCCTGGCTGGCTCTGAGCTCCTCTCAAGGCTACAAAGTTTCTATTATAGAAGGTAAATAAATCCCAGAAGAAAAAAGAAAAAAAGAAAAAAAGGAGAGGCTGGGAGCTTCCGTTGCCGTGGGCCTTGGCCAGCCTGAAAATGGCCCTCAGCCCCTCGCCCAGCCTGGCCAAACCTCCATGGGGTGAGGGTCCCCACTGCTGGGTGCTTGACCAGCCTGCAAACAGCCATCAGCCCCTCACCCAGGCTGGCCAGACACCCGAGTGGGGACCCCCCACCCTGAAGGGGCTGTGACCAGCTGCAAACAACCACCAACCCCTCACCCAGGCTGGTGAGGCACCCCAGTGGGACCCCGACCCTGATCCAGGACACCCTTCAGGGCAAACCAGTCTGCCCCCACCCATGCACCAGGCCTCTATCCTATATAATAAAAGGGTAATATGCAAACTGACCCTAACAGCAGAACAACTGGGAATGACTGGCCACTATGACACACACTGACCACCAAGGGCAGACGCTCAATGCAGGAGCTGACCTCTGGTGGTCAGTGCACTCCCACAAGGGGAGCTTCACTCAGCCACCAGCCAGGCTGATGGATGCCAGTACAGCAGTGGTGGCGGGAGCCTCTCCCACCTCCTTAGCAGCGCTAAGGATGTCCAACTGCAGCTTAGGCCTACTCCCCGCTGGCAAGTGGACATCCTCCAAGGGCTGCCGGGCGGCCAAAGGGATGCCTGAGTGCCAGCTTGGGTCCGATCCCCCAAGGAGTGGGCTGAAGCCAGCAGGTGGACATCCTCCGAGAGGACCCAGACTTCAAGAGGGCATAGGCCAGGGGTGGGCAAACTTTTTGACTCGAGGGCCACAATGGGTTCTTAAACTGGACCCAGGGCCGGAACAAAAGCATGGATGGAGTGTTTGTGAACTAATATAAATTCAAAGTAAACATCATTACATAAAAGGGTACGGTCTTTTTTTTTTTTTTTAGTTTTATTCATTTCAAATGGACCGGATCTGGCCCGCGGGCAGTAGTTTGCCCACAGCTGGCATAGGCCATGCTGAGGGACCCCCCCCCCCCGTGAGCACAATTTTTTGTCCACCGGGCCTCTAGTATAGATATAAAATTTAATAGTTATACAAAATTACAAAATTCTATTTTTGAAGAATATTGTCATGATTTATTTTTTTAGTTAAAAAAGGCAAGTGAAGCCCGAACCAGTATGGCTCAGTGCTTAGCGCGCAGGCCTGCGGACTGAAGAGTCCCAGATTCTATTCCAGTCAAGGGCGTGTACCTTGGTTGTGGGCACATCCCCGTTATGGGGTGTGCAGGAGGCAGCTGATTGATGTTTCTCTCTCATCGATGTTTCTAACTCTCTATCCCTCTCCCTTCCTCTCTGTAAAAATTCAATAAACTATTTTTTAAAAAAATTAAAAAGTCGAGTGGCACCCTCGCTGGTCTTTCTCAGTGGTTAAAATGTCAGCCCACACACTGAAGGGCTGGTCAAGAAATTGAACCTGGGTTGCAGGTTGGATCCCAAGGCTTGGTTGGTGTGGGGGCAGGAGGCAACCAATCAATGTGTCTCTCTCACATTGATGTCTCTCTCTCTCTCTCTCTCTCTCTCTCTCTCTCTCTCTCTCTCGCTTCCTCTCCCTCTCTCCCTCTCTCATTCCTCTTCCCTGCCCTTTCTCCCTTCCACTTTCTCTAAAAATCAATGGAGAAAAATATCCTTGGGTGAGGATTAACAAAAAAACAGGGCCAAGGCCACATCTGTATATAGTGTTTGACTCCTCATTTTGTAATTACATATTATCTATATCTAAGTGTAGCTATACACTATATGTGCCAAAATGTTAATAGTGACAGTTATGATCTAATGATGAGAATATTGGTGAATTTTTATATTTAACTTGTTTGTGTGTGTGTGTGTGTGTGTGTGTATCAGATGTATGCCTAATATAGTTATATTCAATTTCTAATAAAGTGAATTCATTTTATGGAAAAATAAATATTATTAAAATGAAACAGTATTATTTGTTCTGAGCTGAAAATTCAAAGAACTTAAAGTAGGAAATAACTACGCAAAAGATCTGTGCAAAAATATTTTTTAAGACTTCTAAATTTTAAGATTTCAAAGAGGCTGCAGTCCAGTTTCCTGCCATTGATTAATAAATTTATTAATGTCTGCACTTAGTTGCATTTCCTTCTTTATACTTTCATTGCAAGTTTAATTCTGTATTAACATCTGAGATCTAATTCCCTACTGGAATAGTCTAATGCTTTATATACTGTTCTTTTTACATTTGGTCATTAAAAGAAAAGAAAAGCACCTAGGACTTCTTACAGCATCGGTGTCAGTTATCAATTTAAAACTTATCTATTATCAGTAAGGCTCTCCCTCCCCGCCCCCCCCCCCCCCCCCAGATTAGCCATGCATTTAAGGTGTTTTATATTTGGAAGGTTTCTGGATAGTTTGCTACATTAATTGGAATTGAGGCTGAAAATGTGATTTCCAGCTTAGAATTTATTGCAACAAAAATTCCAGTATTTTAAGTAGATTTAGATATCCCAAGCTTTACAGAGTAAAATATAATTGATTTAAATTTCAATAGATGATTGATATGTTGGACTTTGTAGAAAATTTGTCTTTGAACTCTATGGAGAAAAAGCTTGCCTAAACAAAATTAATATAAAATGAATAATGTAAAGAATATCTTTTATTTGTGGATACAATTTTAGATTTTTTTGCATACTGTTTAATAAAAATGGTTGTACTAACTATTGAAGAGGATCGAAAAGCATTTTTTATATTAGTTCCTTGGAGTTATTAATGCTTTAAAATGATCTAAAATAACTCTTCTAGCTACATATCTCTAAAAATGTTACATTTTGGATTTTCCCACCCATACCATTAGAAGAGGATATATCGTCTTTCAGTCACATTTTTAGTAAATCCTAACTGTCATTGGATTTTGTAAAATGTTTAAAAATTCTGTTTTTTTAAAACTAAAATTAAATTTCATTTATTAGCCCTAATTTTCAGCAAAAATTATTGTACTCCTGTTTACCAATCCTGCCCTCCATTCTGAGGTTTTGATTTATAATATGACAACTTCACCTACTTTTTTTAACCTACAAGAATTAATTCAATTAAATCCCATTTTATTGGGGCTTATTCCTACTTACAGAATCAAGTTAAGAATTAGAAGTAAGATGGGAGGAATCCTTCCTTGCTAGACTCAGTTAAAAATATTTTCATGAAGAAGTATAAAGTTTTACTTTTATAGAAGTTTTTGTATTCATGTGTACATTGATGCATTTTGAAACAAAAGGCTATACATGAAGGAAAAAGGAAAGTCAGGTTGACAGGAAAATCCCTGATAGAGTAAAACAGGAGAGGAAAAGCATGGCTATGGCAGCCTCATTAAAGATCTATTACTTGCTGTAGGGACCCTTGTTTTGAAAGCTTATCATCTGAGAATTTCTTTTAATTCTAAAGTAACTCCCATTTCATGAATGTTTCTCATAGTAACTAACACGCCATTTATAACTGAGGTTTGCTTTTTGTATTCTTTTTGCAAGGTAAAGACCAACTAGTTTTCTTTTTTGAGATACCTGTGAAGAAAATTTTAATCAGCTAATGTATTTTTTCTTTTTACTTAATGCATCTTTCTCCTTTGCTCCAAAATGTAGTAACAATTTAAATAGTCTTTATTATGTAAAATAAAGAAATATAAAATAGGATGCATTTTAAGCTTATTTAAAACTGACAACAGTACTATGTAAGAAATATGCCTTTTCATCTAGGAATGTAATATTAACAGTGGATCTATGAAATTGGGAAGAAACAATACCAGTGAAAAGACAGATGAACTAACCAAAGGTAAACTTTAATTTTGATATGATCTCATATTTTATTGAGATTTTTAAATTCTTATTTTTAAATCTTTATTGTTGAAAGTATTACGTATGTTCCCTTTTCCCCCCCATTGACCTCTTGTAGCCTGCCCCGCCCCCATCCCAGGCCTTCACCACCCTATTGTGAGATTTTTCTAATTTAATTATGTAATTCTAGTGCTGGGGCTCTGTACTGTACAAAAACTTCCAATCTCTTTTTCTGAATGACGGTTGTCAGGAAAAATTCCATCAAGGAGGTGATGATGGAATTGGGTGGTAGTACGCGAGGCAGAGAAGCTGAGGAAGAACGTTTTTGGTCGAGAAACATATCCTGTGAAAGGTAGTTAAACAGCAAAATAAAAACACAATAATAGAGCATATTTTGTTCTGGGACTTCAGATTAGTTTATAGTATTTATAGAGTAACTACGGGGTCTAGTGCACAAATTCCTGCACCTTAAAAAGAACTATGGGCCGTGAGGCTGCAGTGGACGCAGGCGTGGGTCTCGGCTCATCCTCCGTGCCCCCACTCACACCCTCCCGCTGCAGCCCCCAGTCCCCTGCCTGCCCACAGCTCTGCTCCCACTCCCACGCACTGATGGCACTGGCTCCACTCACATCTGCTGACGGCGCAGAGTGATTGGGGCCGGTGCCAGCAACAGGTGCAAGTGGGGCTGGCGCCCTCAATGGGTGCATGCGGCGGCTGCTGCCCTGATCGCCCCTCAGGAGCAGGGGAAGGTGGAGAAGCCCTCAGGGACAATTGGGTCAGCAGCTGCTGCTTGCACCCACTGATGGCACCAAGCAATTGGGACCAGGGCTGGGCACTGGCAGTCGGTGCGAGCAATGGGTGCGAGCAATGGCTCCGGTGCTGGCTGTGGGTGTGAGTGGGATTGGCACTGGCAGTGGGTGGAGCAGTGTCTCTGGCACCAGCAGTGGGTGCAAGAGGCAGCTGCCAGCCCTGATCGCCCCTCAGGAGTAGGGGGAGGTGGAGAAGCCATGAGGGGCGATCAGGGCCGGCAGCTGCTGCTCACACCTGCTGATGGCGCCAAGTGATCGGGACTGGTGCCTGGCACCAGCAGCAGGTGCGAGTTCCTGGTGGGACTTCGGCGTGTGGGACAAAGAATTTTCGGTAACCACCAGAGGCTTGCCCCGATGACAGCAACCAGTGCTCCGCCTTGGTCTGATGCCCCGGCTCCACCATCCCACCATGTTCTGTGCTCTGCTGCCTGCTTCTGACGCCCACCATGTTCTGTGTGCACCCCGTGGTGGTCAGCGCACATCATAGCGACTGGTTGTTCGGTTCTGCCATTCGGTCTATTTGCATATTAGGGTTTTATATATGTAGATATGCAAGGACAGCAGCACCTATGGAAAGAGAGGTTAGAAACAAATTCTGAAGTCAGGAGAAGTAATGAGATCTCTGGACTTAGCGATTATATGGTTGTACTTAGTAATCACTTCACAAATTAATTTCTGAAGATTATTAGAGCAGAATAGGCTGAAAATATTTTTAAAATAGTATGTGAAGAATTGGAAGTACAACTGTGAGCTATTTTCAGTTTGTTATATTTGAGATAGGAGAGGGAAATAGATAGTTGGAAAGGGATGCAGAATTGAGGGTGTTTTGGTTTTTTTCAAACATTTTTAAAAATATATTTTTATTGATTTCAGAGAGGAAGGGAGAGGGAGAGAAAAATAGAAACATCAATGATGAGAGAGAGTCATTGATTGACTGCTTCCTGCATGCCTCCCACCGGGCATGTGCCCTTGACCAGAATTGAACCCAGGACTCTTCAGTCCGCAGGCCACCACTCTATCCACTGAACCAAAATGGTTAGGGCAAGGGCTTTTTTGGTTGCCTATTTTTTAGTTTAAGAAAGAAACCCGTGGATAGGAAGATTTTGAATACAATGGAGAGACTATTTTATAGGCCTGTGGGAAGAAATGAGATCAAGAGAACAGGTAGATGAGTTAGCATTAGAAGGAAAGAAAATATAGTTCAGGGAAAATATAGATAATTGAGGGAGTAAAAAGATAGAAAAATTAGGAGTTTATAGAAGACTAGAGGCTTGATGCATGAAAGTTGTGCAAGGGGCTCAGCCCTTTCAGCCCAGCTTTGTCTGGAAGGTGGTCCGGATGGTCACCTTGTTCTGCTGGTCAGTCTAATTAGCATATTACCTCTTTATTATAAAGGACTAGAGGTCCGGTACACAAAAATTTGTGCACTGGGGGTAGGGGGGCCCATCAGCTCGGTCTGCTCCCTCTCACAGTCCAGGTGCCCTCAGGGGATGTCCTACTGACGGCTCAGCCACAGTCTGGTCTCGCTTTGTGGGAGGCGACTGGCCAATCATGGGGAGGCACCTCCCCCATCACCTCCTCAGGCCTCCCTCTATGGGAGGTAACCGGGCCGATCAGGGGAAGGTGACACCCCATCACGCCGCTGCCGCCGCCACTGCCATCTGACGTGGCTGCCTGAGCCTTGGCCCGGCCCTCCCAGCAGCAGCTGCCATCCGTGGCTTGTCTGAGCCTCAGCCCAGCCCTCGAAGCAGCAGCCACTGTGGCTTTGTCTGGAAGGATGTCCGGTTTAATTAGCATACTACCCTTTTATTAGCATAGATAGTTATCTACTTACTGTTCATTTTTTTCCAGCAGCTTTCTGCTGCCTTGGTACATCAGGAAATTCAGCCAATGTGGGGATTGGCTGGATGACTACAGGGGAAAGACTGGGTACAGAACAAAGTGAAGGTACTTTTTAATGAGAAAACACTAGAATAGGAAACGAGGAACTGGCTGATTGAAAGGGCAGGAATGGAGATATTAAGAAGTTATAATTCAATTAAGAAGTATTTTTAAAAAGTTGTATTATTGAGTTGGAAAACCAGGGTTTTAAGAAGGATTATTGCTAGCCTAAGAATTTACTAATATTTTATATATTTGTCCTTTTCTTTAAAATGGAAGGATCTAGGTGTAGCGGAGAACCCAGTATTTCAGATGTCAAAAGAAAGAGTAAATATACCAAGTCAGAATTGTCTAGTTCCTGCTCCAAAAGGTAAACTCTCATTGAGGTTTGATAATATATAATTTGTTTATTTAAATTTCTTTCTCCATTTTTTTTACATATAGGAGAAAGGGCCATTATATCTGAGTTATATAGTTTTTTAAATACATTTTTTATTTGAAATTGATAAAAAGCACTGTGACTTAGGCAGGTAGAAAAGTAATAATCTATAAAATAAGTGAATTGATAATTTTTTTTAACTTTTCTAAAGGTGACTGGCAGCAATGGCTAAGTTAGTCATTCTGTTAATTTACCTCTATAGGTTTGTTTAGCACATCAGTAAATTATTAATTTTTAATCCCTTGTCTTTCTACTATTTTTTTTTCTATTTCTTTCACATAGGAACTAAGATCTAGCTTCTGGATTTTTTGTTTTTGTTGAAACTTTAGAAGAGCTTTATGAATTTGAGGAGATGAAACTGACATTTTATTAGATAGCTTGACAAAAGCACTTTTTGCTCATCTCAGTTCTTTCTTTACCATTAGTGGAAATAAGACACAATAAAGTCATTTATGGAGAGTATTATATTAATGTAGACTAGAGGGGATATTTGAATAAAACACACAATGCCCCTCTGATCTCAACTTGAATCTGTTAATGTTATAAATTTCACTTACCCTCTGAAGTAGATCTAAATATTTGGCTTTTGTTGTATTTTCCACCATCAATATCGGTTGGGTAACCTCAAATCTGAGTTTCTGTTAGCTATTTCACCAATAAAGACCTCAAACTGGGAATCTGTTAATTGTCTTCTATCACTAAAACCTGTCTGCACTGAGCACAGAACTAGGACTCATCAGTTTCCTCTCAAATATCAAATCTTAGAACTCTGAACTGACCAGGAAACTAGTTAACAGCTCTATTAGGTGGACCAGATCACGTTAAAGGACATAGAAATAATAATAATGAGGACATGGGAAAAACTAAAAACAACCAACACATATATTAATTACATCCAGTACACCTGTACTTACTGTGTAACAAACTATTTTAGGGGCTTTGTTTGTTCTATCATTTTATCCAGTGAAGTGGATTGTATCTTTATTTCTGTTTTCCAAATGGGGAAACTGAGGCATAGAGGACCATTAGATAGCTTACCTAAAGTTATATAACAAATAAGTGGCAGAATGGGGATTTGAATCTGTGCAGTCTGACTGTAGAACCCGTTGCACTTAGGCATTTAACCACTATAATATACTTTTTCTACACAAAATTTACAAAAATTTTTCATTGTGGAAGATTTATATTATTGCCTCTTAGCTGCTTATTTCATTATATTGGAAGTGTTTTATTTGATAAGATTCATTTCATTTTCTTTTTGTTCTAGTTTTATGTGTTTTAATTGAATTGAACTCAGTATTAAAATGATTACTATTTTAGAATGCTTTACTTTTTCAAATTTATTTTAATAATAGTGATAACTGCATTTTGCGTAGTAAATGCATCTGGTTATGAAAACAGAATACTTTGACTTTGGATGGTGGGCCCACAATGCAACATACAGATCATGTATCATGGAAATGTACACTTGAAACCTATATGACCCTATTAACCAGCTTTACTCCAATAAATTTAATTTTTAAAAAAGAAAACAAAATGCTTGTGGCAAATTTGACTTTCATTTGTCAAATAAAGGTTCACTTTAATATTTTTCAAAATATAAGTGGGGAAGGACAAGAAGCATTTATATTACATTTATTAAACATGTTTTTATTTATAATCGTTTTGGGTCGATAAAAATATTGCATATATTTAATTTTAGAATAAAAACTGCTGTCCAGTATACTGAAAGCAGCGATTCAGAGGAAATCGAAACTAGTGAATTGCCACAGAAAGTGAAAGGTAATATGAAATGGATTTGATTTGATGCTCTCTCCTATATTCTAATTTCTTTGTGTGAGCATTTTTGTATTTGGTTGTTCATAGGCAAACTGAGAACTGCACAATCAGAAAGTAAAAGCAGAATTAAAGGTATGTATATACATATCACTATCTATAATCTACACTTAAAAATTTTTAAGAAAAAACCATTGATTTGCATCTCTCAAGCTTAGAATTCTTTAGTAATAGGTCTTAAACTTGACTGCAGTTTACATATGAACTATTCTTGGAGCTTACCAGGGATATTAATTGAATGAGGCAAAATGAAAGAATAATTTCAAAATAAAATGTAAGAGAAATTATTTAAACCAACTTTAAACAAGACAAAATGATTTTTTACTACTTATAAAATTACTTCGATAAAACCTTACTCATATCTGTCTAAATTGTAATTTCAAAAGTATGGTGGGAGTATGTTCTTGGAAATATTATAGTTCATATTATCATACAAATGTATGAATAAACAATGATTATTTTTACTTTATCTTTAAAACATATTCTTTATTTTTTTTTCTGCTAAATCAAATCATATATTGCTTCCTAATTAGTTGAGAAATTGCATTTGGAAAATAACTCATCACCATTGACTGACCATAAATTTGGCATCCTTTTTATTAGCAGTCAGGTACCTGTTTCCTTGAAAAAAATTCTCCTTCCACCTGGGAGCTGAATCACTTTGCATATGGCTGTTTCTACTTTTACATCTCTTCCTTAGGAAGATGAGCTTAGTGTCAGAAGAGGCAATTTTGGTTACCAGACATTATTTTATTCTTTTTTAATAATATAAACTCTTAAGGTAGTGTAGAAATGGTATTCTTTTTAAAAAATATATATTTTATTGATTTTTTTACGGAGAGGAAGGGAGAGGGATAGAGAGTTAGAAACATCCATGAGGGAGAAACATCGATCAGCTGCCTCCTGCACACCCCTCACTGGGGATATGCCCGCAACCAAGGTACATGCCCTTGACTAGAATGGAACCTGGGACGTTTCAGTCCGCAGACCGACACTCTATCCACTGAGCCAAACCGGTCAGGGCTGGAAATGGTATTCTATTTTCTGTTCTCAGAAAGTACCTGTGCCTAAGCACAGGAGAAAATGTTTTAAAATATCTTAATGATTCTGTGGTTTTTAACTTCAGCAGAATTTTCTAAGGTTAAAGAAGATACAGAGTTTACATGTGCACTTACTTCATCTACTCCTGCAACAAAAAAGAAAATGTTGAAAAAGTGTCAGTAAACCTGCTGGGTTTTGAGCTTTTGTTTTGTTTGCTTTTTTTTTCAGTGAAAAATATTTTAAATGACAAAAGTTATAAAACCATACTATAAGAAGTTTAGAAAGTAGAGGAAGGAAAAAATACATAATCCCATTAAAAAAAAGGAAAAAGATATGTTTTGATGTGTTTTCTGTCAAGTACTTTTTTGTATTTTATTTAGGTCAGAAATTGATGAGAGGAGGTCCCTTACTCATCTGAGTACCAACGATATTTCTTCTAGTGAAGGCACAGATCAATTTATGGCTGCTTTAAAAACTTAATTTAATTTAAATTATAATAAAGGTTTACTACTTGGTATAAGTAGAATCTGCTTTTCACTTAAGAATGTTAGTGATCTTTATTATTTTTTGTAATTTTGTATTTTGTAATTGATAGGAAATCAACCCTGCTTACAAGTCTCAATATTGGAGATGGAAAGAGATTGAACTAGGATTAAGGAGATTTGGGACAATTTATATCTCTGTGTCTTAGTTTCCTCTATTTTACATGTTGCAGATATAACAGACAAAAGTGTATTTTCATGAAACTTATGCCTAATTATGGAGAAAACATAAAATTAATAAATATCATTATAGACAATAAATGCTGTGAAAAAATAAAGGAAGATAATGAAATAAAGATTGACCGTAGGAGTCTGTGTAAGGTGATATTTGAGCTAACATAGAATGATGAAAAAGAACTAACTTTTGGCCTAAGAATCAAACTATTAGGAATAGAAAATGTAGGCATTTCAGTTAGATTATTTTTAACCCCAATTTTAGGAATTTTAAGAAATGTTGAATTTAGTTGAGATATGATTTAGATAGAATTGAGATAGAATTAAGTTCACACAAAAAGTTCCTTTTTGTTGCAGACACATAGCAGTAATACAGGAGAGAAACTTAAAAAAAAAATCATAGCTGAGATAAAACCCAAATACAGATATTTCTGGAAGAGAAACAGAATAAAAACAAAAATCAGTGAGTGGAGATAGAAGCCATATATTCCGGTAAATAGTGATTTTAAAAAAACAAGACACACAAAGGCATAGAAAAAGATTAAATTCAACATTTAAAATTTCCATGCATCAATAGGTACCATAGACATTGAATAATGTTAAGGCTGAAGAAGATATTTGTGATAAGTGTAACTTAGAAAGCATTAATATTTAGAATATGTAAAGAACCCTCTATCATCATTTAGAAAAAGACAATATAGTAGGAGAATAACCACTAAGAATATAAATGTATAATTCTTGGAAAGAAAACCCAAAAAACTAATAAATATAGGAAAATATATGCAGATTCAGTCATTGGGGAAATGCAAATTAAGGGAACAGTGAGATACTGTCTCACTCATCATATTTACAAACATTTAAAAATCTTAATGCCAAGTATAGGCAAAGTTGTGAGCAACAGGAAGTCTCATGCACTGTAGATGGGAATGTAAATTACCGTGGAGAGCAGACCAAATGTAGTGAAGCTAAAGATAGACCACCTAGAACTCTATAGATGTGTACAAGAAGACATGAAAAACCAGTTTCATTGATGCATTTAGTGAAATATTGGGAATAATGTAAATACTGCCCAATAAGGGAATCTATACTAATAAAAGGGAGATAAACTAATTAGACGGGACGTCTTCCGGATGTCTATCCAGACAAAGCCACAGTGGCTATGATGGCCGAGGGCCAACGCCATGGGAGAGGGAGAAAAGAGGCCCACCCTGCAGTCCCAGGCGCCAGCGCTTGCGGCTGAGGCTGCGGCCTGGGAGAGGGAGAAAAGCCGCCAGCCCTAAGGTCCCAGGTCTTGTGGTTGTGGCCCGGGTGAAGCCACCCGCCCACGGTCCTGGGCGCCTGCGGCCGGCCTGGGTGAAGCCACCTGCTCACAGTCCCATGTGGCTGCAGCCGGCCTGGGTGAAACCAGCCCAGTTCCTGGGTGCCTGTGGCCAGTCAGAGGAAGGGAATTCTGGGTCCCAAGTGCCTACAACTGGCCAGATGAGGGAATCCTGAGTCCAGGGTGTGGGGCCGAGGCAGAGGTGGTTAACAGTGATCAGGCCAGCAGGGGGAGCAGTTATGGATGATCAGGCAGGCAAGCAGAGGTGGTTAGGGGTGATCAGGCAGGCAGGCAGGCAGAGGGGTTAGGGGCGATCAGGCAGGCAGGCAGGCGAGTGGTTAGGAGCCAGTGGTCCCGGATTGCGAGAGGCATGTCCGATGGGTCCCAGATTGGAGATGGTGCAGCCAGGCTGAGGGGGGACCCCCCCCCCCTGCACAAATTTCATGCACTGGGCCTCTAGTCTATAATAATAAAAGCATAACATGCAAATTAGACCAGACATCCTTCATCCTTCTGGACGAAGCCGGGGCTGTGAGGGAAGCCTGGGTCTGGGGTGCCTGCCGGCGGCCAGAGGGAAGCCCGGGTCCCGGTTGCCAGAAGGAAGCTGGTGCCGGCAGCTGAAGGAAGGAAGGCCTACTCTTGCATGCATTTTGTGCATTGAGCCTCTAATGGAAAATGAAATTGGAGGGCGTCTTTTCTTAGGCTGCCTGAGTGTCCTCACAACATGGCAGCTGGCTTCCCCCAGAGGGAGTCATCAGGGTAAGAGAGAGAGAGAGCATCTGAGGGAGAGAAGCTGCATTTTTTATAAGTTAGTTTCACTTCTGACATATCCTTTTGGTCCACAGACCAACCTCAGTGGAGTGTGGGGTGGGACTACACAAGGTTGTAACTGTCAGGAAGTGGATTATCATTGGGGGCCATCTTGGTGTCTGGCTACCACGTTAACCATAGTCCAAATTCAGAGAATTGCATAAAACAAATGTTCATCCTAATGAATAATTTAATGAGTATCAGTGGGTATTTGAAACTTTCTCCTTGTATCCCCTTCTACTCATAATCCTCTACCTCTCCCATGAATAGTCACTCTCTAGGTATTTAGCTGTTTAAAGTGACAAAGTAAAAATCTAGTTACTGTTACTTCTTTAAAGCTGGAAACAGAAGTCCATCTGCTTCATTTTAGTTCTTCCTAATGTCTTTTTTCATAGAGGCACATTATTGTCATTTCTTTATTGACTATATATTTGTGGGGGGGAAAAACACTTAATGTTAGTGCCACTGATTTATTCTTTCAGGAGCATCTGCATTGGAGGGTTCAAAGAAAACTGATGTAGAGAGACCAAGAACAACACTGATCATCTGTCCACTTTCTGTGTTAAGCAACTGGATTGTAAGTCTTCACAGCCTTTTAAAAATGTGAAATAATTTATATTTGTCTTATAATATAAAAAGTACATAGCCTGTTAGCGTGTCATACATTGGGAGAAATATGCTTGGTCAGCCCTTTATAGTTCAAATAATTGTTGGGTGAATTGGAGATATTGCTGAATTGAAGCAATTTTCCTCTGAAGATTTAGAATAGAAAAGAAACATCATCAGTTTCTATAATAAGATTTGTACTTCTGCTTCTCACATTTCTGTCCAAAGTAGGAATTGTGTATAATTTAACACCATCATATTTATGAACTATTGGAACCTCTTTTAAGAATTCCACTAACAGCTTGTAACATTTAGTGAGCTTCTGTGTGCTTCGTTTTCCCCTAAGTTCTTATAGATTTTCTCATTTAATCTCACAACTATTCTTATTTTCCAGGTGACCAAATAGAATCATAGAGAAATTAAGTAATTTACCTAAAGTCATCCAGCTAATAAATGATGGAGCTAAGATATGGTCACCAACATTCTGACTCTTAGAGCCTATGCTTTTAAGGCTACCTGCCAGAAAATGTGTTTGTTTGTGTTTTCTTCCAGATTGCTTTGCTGTTCTAAAACATAGCATTGGAATGGAACCTGTTTATGTGTTATGTGTAAGGAGCAGCTTGGTTATGTTTCCAATTTGAGCTTCATTCTGCATGTTATAATGCAACTAGAGTCCCGGTGCACAGAATTTCATGCGGGGGGTGGGGGGGAAGGGTCCCTCAGCCCGCCCAACCTGTGCCCTCTCGCAGTCTGGGAGCCCTCTGAGGATGTCTGACACGGGCCTAAGCTGGCAGTCAGACATCCCCCTTGCAGTCCGGGGCCCCTCACTCTTTACCACCCTCCTGCAGTGGAGGCGGGAGAGGCCCCCACCACCGCCACTGCACTTGCCAGCTATGAGTCTGGCTTCTGGCTGAGTGGCACTCCCCCTGTGGGAGCGCACTGACCACCAGGGGGGCAGCTCCTGCATTGAGCATCTGCCCCCTGGTGGTCAGTGTGTATCATAGCGGCCGGTTCGGCTGTTCAGTTGATTTGCATATTAGGGTTTTATTATATAGGACTAGAGGCCCGATGCACGAAATTCGCGCAAGGGCCTTGGTCCCAGCCCCTGCCAGCCCGCCCACCTGTGGCCGGGGGCCTCTGCCGCCTCTGCCTCGGCCCCTACCTGCTGTGGCTTTGTCTGGAAGGAAGGATGTCTGGTCTAATTAGCATATTACGCTTTTATTATTATAGATAATGAGTCTATTGGAAGCACTGTAAACATAAAAACTACTGGATGTGAACTTCCATTCTTGTCACTTCTAAGATTATCTGCCTCTCTCCTAGTCTTTCTAATCTGAGAGTAAAAGAGGTCCTACTCTTTGTGAGACCAATACCTTAGCCTACACATTGGATTCCGTCTCTTCCAGCCGTTGCATTTTATTTGTTATTTTCTCCCTTGCCTGGTTATTCAGCCAGTCCTCATTGACTCTTTCATGAAACATAGATCTTTTTCATTTTTAAATACTTTCTCTGGATTGTCTCACACTTAAGTTGCTACTCTGCTATACTTCACTGACATACCTCATGGGATTTTCACTTTGTGCTTTTTCTTACTAACTTAATTGTAATCTGGTTTCTAGGCATTGGAAAAAATTAATAGTTATTGTCTAATTATAAAATTCCATGGCTTTTTAAATTTCTTCTTGACTTTATGTAGCTTTGCTTTCTTTGACTTATCTTTCTTTAAAAAAATATATTTTTATTGATTTTAGAGAGGAAGGGAGAGAGGAAGAAAGAGAGAGAAACATCAATGTGAGAAACATTGATCATTTGCCTCCCACACACACCCCAACTGAGGATTCACAAACCCTGACTGGGGATTGAACCTACAACTTGGGCATGTGCCCTGACTGGGAATCAAACCAGTGACTTTTTGTTTTTTAAAATATATTTTATTGATTTTTTTACAGAGAGGAAGGGAGAGGGATAGAGAGCTAGAAACATTGATGAGAGAGAAACATCGATCAGCTGCCTCCTGCACACCCCCCACTGGGGATGTGCCCGCAACCAAGGTACATGCCCTTGACCGGAATCGAACCCGGGACCCCTGAGTCCGCAGGCCAACGCTCTATCCACCAAGCCAAACCGGTTAGGGCAAACCAGCGACCTTTTGATGCATGGGTCAACACTCAACCAACTGATCCACACCAGTTAGGGCAACTTATATTTTTATTATAAGTTTGTGTGTTATTGTTTTTTTTTTAAATTAGACCTTCTTCTGTTTAGTGTGGCATTTTTCCTCTTAGCACCACAATGAATTTTGCTTCTCTGTTGCTCTTTTTTAATTCCAACAAAATTATGCTTTTTCTTTTGATATGTTGTCCATCATGGGAAGGACAGAACTTAGGTATTTGAATGGCATTTTCAGAGGGAGGTTTCCAAATATTAATGGAGATATAAATAACCGAACTGATTTCTTTTTCTTTATATATTTTTATTGATTTTAGAGAGGAAGGGAGAAGGAGAGAGAGATAAAGACATCAGTGGTGAGAGAGAATCATTGATCAGCTGCCTTCTGCACACCCCACGCTGGGGATCGAGCCCGCAACTTGGGCCTGTGCCCTGATCAGGAATCAAACCGTGACCATCTGGTTCATAGGTTGACACTCAATAACTGAGCCACACCGGCTGGGCCAAAACTGATTTCTTAAGAGATTGGAGTATGGATATGTATTTTTAAAATGAGTACTCAGGGTACTGAACCATAACACAGTGTACAGATGATGTATTGTGGAATTGTGCACCTGAAACCTGTATAATTTTGTTAACCAATGTAACCCCAATATGTTCAAAAAAGGGGGAAAAAGGAGGAGGAAGGTTGAATTTACTCTAAAAAAATAAAAATTAAATAAAATTGGGTACTCAGTGTTTTAGTATAATTTTATATTTTGAAAACAAAAGTTTTGGTAATATAAGAAAGAAAATATTGGCAAAATCTTGCCTACGAATGTGTAAAAACTGATATTTCTAAAAATATTAAGGTATTGTTGGGCATATAGGGATTCCTGGCCAAGAATTAGAATTTTATAATCTTTCAACAAACTATTCCCTTCCTGGCCCCTAAATAAATGACCTGGCACCCTAATGAGCAGCTAAAACTACCTTATTTCCATTTCTTTGTCTTCAAACATGGGCAAGAATCTAGTTAAAAGAATTAAGATACCAATATCACTTTTACCACTTACTTTTTCTGGATATTGATATCAGTAATTCATCCTCCCACTGTAAAAGGAAATAACATCTATTTCATTCGCACATACATACACACTTCTAGCACAGTGGCAAGAAATTCAATGTTAGCATTCTCTTTCTCCAGAAAAGTTAGTTTTTTTTCTATTTCAAGTTTAAACCTTCCACAAATATGCTGTGCTCAATTTCAAGGCAATTCCACTTATTCATTTTTCTCACACTGGATTCATTTTCCTTTCCTTTTCCACCAGATTTTTTTATAACATTTTCTGTGTTTTCACCTTTACTCTTTCATGTTTTATCCTCTCTTCTCTTTTTGCTGACAGTGTTTCAGGTTTCATTCTCCTTTCAAGCCCACAGTAGTTTGGTATTTGCTCCCACCCTCTCTAGAAACTCTCTGTGAAGGCCTTCAGTGACCTTATTCTTGCCCTGACTAGCCAGTTCTCTTTTTCTTTTCCTCTGACCTAACCTTGTTTCCATTGTTTTTGAAAGCCGTTGAAAGAGAGGGACTGGACATAAGGTAAAAATTTTTAAATTGTTTTGTATTTCTTCTTGAAACTTTGATATTTTTTGGCCTCTCCCAAAATTTTGTTTTCTACCCCATCTTTCTGACCACTGTTTTTCTCTACTTCTATTTTTCTCTTATGGCTCCTATGTAGTCTGCCCTGCCCTCCCCCCTTTAAAACATGATATATATTTTTAATATGAAAAAGTCTAATGAGATCTTTATTTACCCATCAAGATTCAACAATTTCAGAATTTGCTTTGTTATTATTATTTTGCTGGAATATTTTGAATCATATCTCAGAAATCATGTCATATTTCTCAATAGAAGCATAAGTCTGCTCTTTATTTTTTAAAACAAGATAAAGGATTTATTTATGTTACATAAAGCAAGTCCAGAGACCTGAAAATCAGAGCTCGTATGCTATTCTTATGCTATTTCATTATCAGCATCACCTCATGGTCCTAAGATGGTTAAAGCAACCCCACCATTGCATTACATATCAGGAAGGAAGAAAGGAAAAGGGCAGAAGGGAGCTCCTTCCAGCTAAGAGCTTTCCAAGAATTCCACAGAATTATATCTTACATCCAATTGGCCACTTGTATCATCAAGGCAGACTGGGAAACGTGGCTTTGTAATGCTAGATAATGTTGCCACAGCCCTCACTATAGAGGTTCTATTTATAAGGATGACAGGGAAAAATATGAACTCAGATCTCCACTATAACAGATAAGTTCCCTGTTCTCAGGAAGTTATTGTTTCATCAGGAAAAATTAGATAACCAATAAGAAAACAAATTAAAAAGGTAATTTCAAATGTGATAAGCTCTGTCAAGAAAACAGAATATAGTGTTAAAATATAGAAGGTGGTAGGAGAGTGGTGGGAAGCCAATGTGGATTGTGAAGACAGAAGATATTCTTGAGTAGAACAAGTTCTAAAAACCCTTCTGATTTTGACATTCTATAATTTGAGGTAACTGAACAATCTCCCCCACCACCATCAAAGAGAATAGTGATAATAAGTATTTCTTTTTTTTTTTTTTTTTTTAAATATATTTTATTGATTTTTTACAGAGAGAAAGGGAGAGAGATAGAGAGTTAGAAACATCGATGAGAGAGAAACATTGATCAGCTGCCTCCTGCACATCTCCCACCGGGGATGTGCCCGCAACCCAGGTACATGCCCTTGACCGGAATCGAACCCGTGACCCTTCAGTCCGCAGGCCGACGCTCTATCCA